TGCCAATAGCTCACTAAAACAGATCTATTAATTATTAGATCAATATAAAAAATTTATTTTTAAACACACGTGAACTTAATGAAAAGTTTAATTAATACCTGCCTATTTTCCATTTCCAAATCTACTTCTAATGAAACAAAGCTCCTTCTCCGTGTTGTCTGAAATGTAAATTTTAAGCCTAATCAGGATTTATCCTGTAAAACATAAAGAAAAAAAAATTAAGTGAAGGCTGAATTGAAACCTTTATTTGTTGGACACAATGCAGCTTCTGTTCAGGTTTTGAATTTAAAGTATTTGTTTAAGTTATCGCATGTGGAGCACTGTTTAGTGGGAATTGAAGCCAGGTATAAATACATTCTGTATATTTTGTGAGGATTACTAATGTATATACCTAATATTTCCCTTCCCCCAAGTTACAGCGATCGATGATCCCAGTGATAATTTTTTCATTTGGAAATACAATGAGATCAAATCGTGATGAAGTTCAGCAAAATTTTGGTTTTAAAAGTTAATTTGTCAAAAGAAAAGAAAAAGAATTTAAGCAGATTAACAACAAATCAGAGCAGACTAACCAAACCTTAAATGCAGGATGTCACATATTTACCATTATTACCAATGATGCTGAATGTAAATCTGAATAAAAAAAAAACCTACACATATTTACTATATGTTTTATATTAAAGTGGGATTTTTGTCTCAAATACTCTAGATTCTAAGATTAACAGATATAAATTTAAATGTTTACATGTCAAACATTCATCATTTCTTCTACTTAGTCCATGTCAGGGTGAAGCTGTCAATGTTGTCAAGCCTTTTAGTTGGGGTGTATGTGTATGTCTAAGCCTCTATAAATGATTCTGACTACTTAATTACATTGTAAACCCAATTCAAAGAGACATTAGGACCAGTCAGTAGGTTAAAGACCGAACCATATTAGATCAGGGGTGTCAAACTGGTTCCTGAAAGGGCCGTGTGGCTGCAGGTTTTCTCTCCAACCAAGCAATAGCACACCAGACTCCAGTCAACTCATCAAGGGAGTCCAATCTGAACATGATGACTTGATGAGATGAATGGAGTCTGGTGTGCTATTGTTTGGTTAGAAAGAAAACCTGCAGCCACACGGCCCTTTCTGGAACCAGTTTGACACCCCTGCTCTAGATGTTGTCTGAATAACTGTGTAGCAGTACAATGCAGCAGTTCTCTGAGACCTACTGTACAAGAAAACTGTTTCTGATTAAAAGCAAGTTTTCTCTATACTAAAATATGGATACATAAAAAAAAGTTTTGAATATCAAAAATTCATATCTGCAATAATTTCCCCCAAAATGAATTTCTGGATATGACTGATGCAGAGTTTTTTAAGGGTGGATACCGATTATTTCAGTCTAACGGATGCCTGATTGTGCTGCCTACATGTTTAGGCCGGTTCTTGGAGGCAATAATTTTTTTCCCTTCTATTTACATGATAAAAATTGAAGGATATCAAATGTTACACAGGTCTAAATAAAAAAAAAATCATGAAAAAATCAAACAAAATGACAAAATCAAATCAAGAGAGCAGCAATGCATACAGTCCATATGATCTCAAAGCATGGCTGCTGATTGCACCTATGGATGAGCCAACGCATGCAGGTATTGGCCGATACGAATACAAGAAAAAAAAACATATCATCCACTTATTAGTGTATCTCTACTAAATAAGATTAATAAATTAACAGTTTTTTAAACAGAACTGTCAGGCTTCTGTGAAGTAGGTTTCTTTTCTATGTACTTTATTAGTGCAGAGGTAAAGAAGAAGCCCAGGTCCTTTTTTTGGTGGCCTGCTGTATAGCTGGGTCTGGTCTCCTTCATCCTTCTCTTGGCAATATCCATAGATTATCTGTGGGGTTCAGGTCAGACCAGCTTGTTAGCTAAAAAAACACAGATGCACCATGATCACTGGGCCAGCTGGTGGTACCTTTGGCAGTGTGGACATGTACCAAGTCCTGTGGAAAAATGAAACCACTATCTCCACAAAGCTTGTGAGCAGAAGGAAACATTAAATGCTCTAATAGATGCTCTTGATAGATGGTTAAATTGACAGAGGACTTCGTGAAACCCAGTTGACTAACACTGGACCTCATTTCACTCTGTGATATATATCTTGGTGATGGGAGTTTGACTTTCTGAAATGAGTGGCAAAAGAAATCTAACTTTTTTACATGCACCTCTACGGTGGCAAAAGCAAAGCAGAATTTTCTATTTTTATTTTTTGGCCTTCATTAATTTTTGATGCAACTAATCAAAAGTCTTTAAAGAGCAGGCAGGTAGTTCAAGAGTTGTTGGTGGGTGGATTTCCCTCTGACCGTCTTTAGACGGCTTTTAGTCCCCCCAGATCTGTTTCTTGATAATCATCTTTTTTCCTGAGGATATTTTTAGCCAGAGTTCTCTGTACTGCAACCCTCTGGGCTGAATCGTGTCTTGCCTGTAATTATCTGTGTGCCTGAGAACCCCTTTCTGTCTCTCCAGAGGGGTGAGGACTGATAGCTCTCTCATGGCTTCCCGCTGGAGTAATTAAGGGTGAACGCTGCGTGATACCTAAACAGGCTCTGGTGTAGATGAACAGTTTGGATCTGATTTAAAATGATCAACTTTTTTCTCTGTTTAGCTTCACTTATGATTTATTGTTTTTTTTCTTACAGCAGGTCCTTGTATACTAATTCCTTGCAATATTGTTTCAGAAGGGTAGATTTTAATACAGTTTTTTTTCTGTATTTCTTGTGATTTAATTTGCTAACCCAGAAAGTTATTGTTCTGTTATAAAAATCTAAAGCGGAGGGGGAAAAAACACATAAATATACTTTAATATAAACCATTAAACTGCAGCTCTGGCTGTGTGTTAACAGACAATATGACTTTAGAAACAAATACTTGATCCATCTGGTTATGCTTCATTATGCTTCTATACAGAGGTGTATTTGTGTGACAATTACAGAGATTACAAGTTTTTTCAAAAACAAACAATAACTTTGACCTTCAGCCTTTGATTAATTGATCATTATAGTCTTTAACATTAGCAGATATGTGATCGGCTGGTGTAAAGTATTCTTTGGATACATTTTTTTTTTTGGTGCGTGTCCTGTTTTGCCAATATACAGTAGCTCTGGGTGTCCCAGAACTAGATGATAACCTAACAAATTTGATTTCATAGTAAACCATTATGACTGTTGCCATAACATTCTGCTTCATACTTGTATATTAAACTTTAATAAAATTTATTTAGGGAGTAAAATTGTATACAACAGATATGGAGACGAAAGGGGAGGTGAGAGAGAAAGAGGGGATAGGAACTAAGGGAAGAGAGAGAGACAGGAAAGAGTTCATGAAAACAGAGAAAATAAAACAAGACAGCAAAAATAGACAACACATAAGATAAACAGTAACTCCTAGAAGTCTGCTTCCATACCTGTATGAGATGAGAAGAACTGAAACAGCTAAAAATAGGACAACAGACAACTAAAGTAAATAAAAAATTAAAAAAAATGTTAAGAGCAGCAGGAATCTTTCAGATATCCATGTGTGTTGAAGTCAAAACCTATGGTGATTATACAATATCATTCCTGGTGGTATATATCTGTAGCTGCAGCTTGGTATTCAGTATTAGTGTGTATGTGTGAACACCTGGAACCAAACTCCTGTGGTATGTATGCATGGGCATGCTCATGTATAAAGTATTTACAAAGGTTCTTCAAAGGGAAACTATGCTTAATAGCAGGTTTGGGCGGCCCCAGACTTGCCCTATAGGGCCTACAGGGATAGAAAAAAGAGGCGATGCAAGCCCAAATATCAAGAGTTAACCCCGATCACCGTGACACGAGGAGGGCAGACATGGGTGTGGCCGCACCCACCAGAGAAGGGCAGACAAGAGCGCCTGGAGGCAATAGTACCAGTATCCCACAAGGTCATGGCAGCGAGCCCATGGGCTCTGCCGACAGTCATGCTCAGGGGTCCGAGGCCTGGAGGTGCACCACCCACTAGCAGGGACCCCACAGGGCTAGGAGGCCTAGGCCTGGCCCGGCAGCCACCAGTAGTGAGACGGCGCCCATCCCGTACCTAGAAAACCCTGGGCACGCCAGCAGACACAGGAACCTGTCACTTGCTGGGAGCATAAGAAAGGGTAGGAGGCAGACGCTGCTCATACTTGGGGCCTAGGATGTTTAGTAGGGGGGGTGGAGAAAACAAACACCCAACTTCACGAGTAGACAGAAACAGCTTCATAGCCCCCACACCGCATCCCCCCACAAACCGCACACCTGCCCCCCCAAAGACACCAGAGCAGGTACCCAACCTACCAAATATCCCCACCCGCCCCCAGCCAGTTATCACCGCTTCAGGCCTCCACATCCATATGGTCTTTTCATACTCATGGCTGCAAGGCAATCATAACCAAGGCATTTCCCCCCCCAGTCCTAGTATTGCATGCCAGCCTACCGAGCCCAGGTGCAAGATACCCTCAGTGTCCCCACACCTGACAGCACGCATACGCCCGGCAGAGGGTCAGGGCAGCTAGCAAGGCAGACCCACACTGCAGGTGGAAGCGCATCCGGGCACAGTGATTTTATCCCATCTGCGGTACAGCCACACCAGTCAGCTGACCCCCACCACCGCAAGGACGGGGCCAAACCCTCCAATGTCCCAGACCCCTACTCAATGACGGGAGCTGGCATCCCGCAACCCAGCAGACAGACAAGACATCGAAGCCATATGATAAGATCCAAAGGCCGGAGAACCAGAAACCCCAGCCAAGCTATGCCGTATGGAGAAAATTAAAAGATGACTCGATAGTTTATCTGGTTGCTAGGCAGAAACTGTAGTTAGGTTCAAGAAATGGAGAGGGTTGTCCATCAAACCAAAATAGCAGCTGGTGTTTTTATTTTGAATATGTTCAGACATATAATTAAAAGCTGTTGCCAGTTTATTGTGAGTGAATTTAATTCTTTCTGTTTGTTTTATTTTCACAGGGAAGTAATGTGGTTGAGGACCAAGACCTGCTGGAAATTGGAATCCTGAACTCTGCTCACAGACAGCGCCTCCTACAGGCCATACGGCTGCTGCCCAGGGTCAGTTCCACACCTAATTAATGTGTTCTGCATTTAATGTGTCACATTAGCATCATAATCAATGCTTTAAGTTACTCATTCTTCAGTTAGTATTTTTTTCTAGTTCATTGTTGATGTTATTTTTCCTGTCATTGTCACTTTTATTCGTCACTGTTACTATATCCACCATATTTGCCTCCATACACACATTTTGGCTCTTTCAGTTTTTTGCTTGACCTACACACTTTAAATCAATAAAGTCAATCACACACAAGAACCAACTTCCCAAAGTCCGCCTATTCTAGCGCTAATCTATCCAGATAGTTTAAGGCAACCTCATCCACCATTCTGGTGTGTCAAAGTTACTAGGATAGAAAACCAGTGGAGAGGAAAAATAAATATAAATTTTTTTATTGTTTCCATTGTAGGAACTTGTTTTTTTTGTTTTTGTTTCGTAATTTAAAATTGATCCATTTTGGTTAAATAATGTTTATCTTAATTTAAAATTCATTAAACCAGCTGACAGTCTGAGCAATGTGGGAGCTGGTTACATCTGTGGATCTACTGGGATTGGTTTAACTGGTTTTCAGTGTGTTCAGAGTAAATGGAGAAGTTCCTCCATATTAAACCAGTGCCTTCTATAGAAATAAAAATATTTATGATGTAATCGTTGTTCCCTATGTAGGAGCTGGTCAAACCAGTTTTCCTGCAAGAACTAAATAAATGTTGCACAGTTCCTCTTGCAGTGAACTGGTAGCTATGATGGCACACCATTGTTTCCTGTAGGAACTAAAAATCTGTGATGTCATACCAGTTCCTTCTGTAGGAACTAAATATTTATGGCTCAATCCGAATACCTCAAACCTGTGATGACACAGCAGAAGAGCATCAGGAGTTCCCATAATGTGCTATCCCAATGCTGCTGGCAGTTAGGGGGCATCTAGGAAGAGACTTCTTAGTTCCATGGCTTCCTAGCAGCAGTTCATTTAGCATAGGAACCTTGCTTACCTTCCTAGGTAACGCTAGGTAATCTACAGTTGCACACAATCCTTTGAGTGACAGGACTTATTGGCACAACCCACCATATGACGTTTCTCAAAAATACATTAGTTTTTTACGTATACTGTGTGTTAAACAGTACAACTAAAAACTTACTGTTGACCCCATGTGAGGTAATGGGACAGGAGCTACAATTAGAATTGAAACTTTTGATTTTATGAATTTAATTTATGATAATATGATCTTTCTTTTTTGGCTCGTGGGGTCAGAATAGCTTTGAGGGGCTGGATTTGACCCATTATGCCTTAAAGGATGTGTTCACACATCATGCTATCTAATATCATTAGCACACGTTCTAATCAGTGGGTCAAAAATGAGTTTAGGAAAAACTTAATAATTAGTTTTTGCAAATGTGTTAAAGGGAAAATTACAGAAAGATAAAGGCCTTGGTAATTTTTTATCTTTGTTTTTACTGCATCAAAACTTGAATATTGTTCCATGTTGAACTATAAACGCATCCTAAAGATAAATGTGCATTAATCCAAAAATCTATAGAGGTGGATTTCCCTTCTTTTTGGGCCTTTAGAGATTTTTTGTTAATGTAGTAATTCAGGCATGAGGTTCTTAAACATGGTATCTTTTTTTGTTTCTTGCTGTTTAGGTTTTAACCAACAAAGCATCCAATGTCATATTTAAGGCCGTGGTTCTCTGCTGTTTTTTTTACTGCTAAAACATCACCTTTGAACACATATTGGGTAAATATTGTATTAAAGAGGTTCAGTTTCAACTTAAAATACTAGAAAAAACTATTAGGTAATTGCATTTTAATTCACACCAAATTATCTTTTGCTGCAAAATACATAAAATAAAAAAGTGAAACTACTACAACTACTGATTTATCTGCATAAGCATGCTCATCAGGCATATGCAAGCAAACTTTGCAGGTTGTGCAAAAAAGTTGGGTGTCAACTTGCTTAATTTTGTGTTTTAATTTTTTTCCCTTGCAATTACCCCGCACCAATATTGACCAAATGACATGCCAGGGATCATTCAGTCCACATTATCCAAGTCTTGTTTACTATAGATTGACAAGTAAAGTTGATTTTGATTTTTCCAAATTTTAAGTTAGTTAAGTTTGTTTATAAGGGTCCAGAATATTGTTTGAGTTTAGAAAAGTATGACATAGAAATGGAAATGTGCAAAAATCATACTCTAAATAAAAATGTATGACTTACAGCAGTCGTTACTGCAATAAGTGTGCACAGTGAAATATTGAATGCATGAAAGTGAGGGATTCAAACTCAGTTCAAGGAGGAGTCAGATGAGCTCAGAGACAAACTTAGATCTCCAGTCAGCATTTTCTCTCCTCTGACTCACACTAAACTTTTCCAAAGAGCACAGAAGATGAAACCCTTTAACTCTGAGCTTTGCAGTCACACACATCCTTAATGTGAGGTGGAAGGTGTGGGAAGCTTGTTTAAAGCAAAACAAACTCTGGAGCTGTTTAGGCTGTCAAAATAAAGAGGAATGAATTATTAATTATTCGCTTCGCTCCCAACTCCTTCTCACTGCATGGTAACCCCCTACTGTTAATGTCACATTCAGAGCTTTATCAAAACTGAAGCTTGTTTACTTGGTTTTACTATAAAAATGTAGAGTTTTTGCATATTTAGACTATGGTTTTTGAAAGTCTGTGGCAGAAACTCAAAACACACATGAAATTATTTAGCTTTGCACAGGAACACTGCTGAGTATTTTATATAATGAGCAAATGTTCTTTTAGATGAAAATTCATGTCAAATTAACAGTAAAGTCAGAAGGATTTTTAAAAATTCATCGTCATTTGCAATTTATCTTATAAAATTCGGTTTGATGGTAGTTCCCTTTCAATATTTCCTTGTACTGCTCTTATCTTGTGTATTAGGTTGCAGCTTTAATTACTTTAAAAGTGATTTAAGCAACCATGTTTTGGCTGATGTCATGAATATAACAAAGTTTAAAGTCTGTTTTCAAAAGCAGATTTTAGGTTGATCTTATTTTCATTTATATTCAGTACCATCAGCTGATCTCTGTTAAAGAAGTGTTTTCATGCCATGGTGCTATAAACACCCTATTGTAATGTAGGAATTTTGCTAAATCTTTTGCTTTAGTGTCTTCTGAAATCTTGAGAAACGTTTTTAGCCCTCCCTGTAAGACGTACTTTCTGTTTAAAGGTGCGACCTGTGGGCTACGATGGAAACAACCCCACATCAGTGGCTGAGTGGCTGGAGTCTTTGGAGCTCGGCGATTACACCAAGTCCTTCCTGGTCAACGGTTACACCTCCATGGAACTGGTCAAGAAGATCTGGGAGATTGAGCTGATTAATGTAAGTTGAAATGTCTCTCAGACAAAAAAACATCCTGAGCCTCAAATACTTTGCTTTTATGGAGACTAGAGGCAGGAACAAGAGTTTCTCTGCACTAATGGCTGCTGCATTATTAAAAGCAGTCTGTCTGAAATAATCCAAAATGAAGCAAGTTTATAAAAGTGATATAAAAGGTTTGTTTCTCAGCTTTTGGTGGAATTTAGATCCAAGCTTCTTGTCAAAGAGAGGTTTGCATAGACTCAGGATTGGCATGGATGAAATGATTCTCTTTGGCCTTCAGTCACTGGATTTAACTGGTGCTTAGGATGGTTACATAATAGAATAAACAAATAACTGAACTTTATTGATCTCACATTGGAGAAATTTACCTCTGCATTTAATCCATCCCCTTGGTTAAGGGTCTTTCACAGGGACCCAGAGTGGCAGTCTGTGGGAGTGGGGCTCGAACTCAGAACCTCAAGATTCCAAGCTCTATGCCCTAACCACTATGCTGCCACTCATCCAAAGTTTTTTTACTCCAGCAGCAGTTGACTGCAGATGAATTTCTCTTTTCCACAGAGTCCGTCATGCAAACTTTTTTTTTTTTTGTCTTCAGTAGTCTTTCGCATTCTGTTGAAGAGGCTCCCTATAAAAACCTTTATATTCTCTGCCTTTCAACATGTCTTTAGTTTTTTATGGATGTTTACAGATTACACTTCTGTGCAGTACTTGGTATCACCTTGGTTGTCATCAATTACGTTGTTAATAATGTTTGTAGGGTAAGGATATTTTTTACCTGTTGACCTAAGCTGATTGAAATTTTTTTTTTTTATGTAATTCTTGTTGCCAACCTTGGGCTGTTTTGCTCTTTGCAACAGAAGATAGCAGTGTGTCTGAGTCAGGAGGGCTCTCTGCCCTACGTCTCACACTGTGCCTCCTTGGCCTGGGGTCTTTGTGTAGTCTGCATGGCTGCCTTGGAGTGATGCTTGAGGTCTTTAATCCCGGGGCCCCTGCAGCCTCTCAGAGCCGGGGCCGCCTCTCCTTTGCTGTTCTTGGTTGCTGTCTGTATTCTACCGTTCACACCACTCTAACAATTTTGCACCTCCAGGTGACAAACTCGCTAACATACGCCCACTCAACACAAACACCCTTATTTCTACACATCCCCCCTCCCCCCTTTACTCACATAAACAAACCCACTCAGTGACACAAAGATAATCTAATTAGTTGTACAACACAGGCTCCTATTACATCAATATGGCCCGCCTACTTAATGCTAGAATCAGTCTTAGTTTCATAACATCAATCAAGCATTTTGGATTTATTCCTCAGGTTTTTCAGGGCCAAGTTGCTCTGACACATGTAGGCAACCAGATTTCTGTATCTGAAATGATGCAACAGGAAAACATGGATAACAGATGTATAAATAATCAAATGCTGCAGAGGAGACTACATGCATCAGTATCTCTCGGTCCTTTTTGACTTCTATTACAGTGAGCTGATCTGAAGATGACCTGTGTGAGAAGGATGCTGCACAGTGCTGAATACCCACTGGGCATTTCTCATTAATGTGCATTGTGTGCTGACAATGCAAACAGAGCAAGTGCAGCCTGGCTACCCTGTCATTACCTTATAACGCTCTAGTTCTTTAGCGTTTTGCTGGTGATGAGCTGCTGCTGAATTGTCTCCTCTTGTGATCATTAGCACGCCTGCTGATAACCAGGTTTGTTGCCTGAGTTCTAATGATGTAGTTGGGATTTGTTATCCAGTGTTTACGACATGAAATCTTCACTGGAGCTGTGATTTACTGCAGCTTGATCTCATTTGATTGACGGGGCTTTTAATGCAGAACGTTTATCAAAATCATGCTGGATTGCAGGGCGCCTGCTCGGCTGATTTGACCGAGAGAGATGGAAAGCAGGGCTAGAAGTGGTGTTTTTCCTTCCCAGCAGTGGATAAAGTGATGAGTGATCAGCTGGAGGAGGTAGAGAGGGAGTTATATAAGCATGTGGGATGCAAGATGTTTCATGGCACTGGGGATATCGCCCACTCACTGCGCTGCTGCTGCTGTTTCTACTCCTCTGATGCATATGTGACATAGGAAAAGCGTTAATACATACTGTTATTATGTGAGATAATGATCTCATTTCTTAAACATGAATTCAGCTATACCCCAGTTCTCTGCTATGATGGGACACACATGAGATGTAAAATCTGCACTAATAAATATGATTCCTGTAAATGGAATTGCATCTGTTCTGCAGCTAGAGGGTGCTCAAGTACACAGCATGGAAACAGGCTGTATGAATGGACAGTCGCCTCAGAAGATGTTCCAAACTGTTCTTAAAATGAAGAAAAACCTGCAAAATGTAGCATTTAATGAAATCATTTCACTTTAGAAAAATTATTATGTTTGATATTAGATACAGATCGTGGCCCATTTTCCACACAAGGACCTTTAATGCTAAAATTCCTAGATTTCTTAATGAATTTAATTTTTGAATGAACAGTATAACAGCTTAAGGCAAGTATTTCTAGACTGATCAGGTTTCAAATGTATGAAAAGAGGATTTGATGGACTGAATGTGTTGAATAGAGAGAGGGATGGACAGCACAGTGTTTCCATTCTCAATTATTTATTTCTTTTTCAGGAAGATGTAAATATCATATTTTGTACTTTTCTATAATATGTTTAAAGGTTGTAGAATTCATTTAATAAGGGTCAAAGTTTCTGAAGAATTCTGAAGAAAGACATTTAGTAGGGATAAGCTATTAGGGTTCCTGTGTGTTATTCATTTAAATCAACACCAATAAAATGGGATAAAATAGCTTAAAATACAAGAGAGCTTTTGACTTCAGTAAAAACAACCAATCGACCAGTTTTACAGCCCCTTTTGTATTTCCTTATTCCTAGTAGTATGTAAAAACGTATCTGTTTCATTGGGCACACTTTAGCACTTGACGCCCATTTCTGCAAATATGCAACCAACCCTTTGTATTAGGTACATTCCGTAAATGCAAGTATTTAAACAGTCATTGTGGACCTAGAAACCTTTGGCAAGCTTGTTTCCCTTACAACAGGTTCCTAATGGTGAATGTTTTCATTGACCGTCATGAATTTTGTCAATAATTTTTAATATAACTATTATTTATTTTTGAAATAAGTAAAACTTTTAAAAATTTCAATTAAGCAACTAGTTAAAGGTAAAACACATATATGTAATTAAATAAATAAATATATTTGGGCGTCAAGCAGTTAAACTCGCTGTCCTGCGGTTTAATGCTGCATAAAATAAAAATCCAGATAAGTCATTTTTTTTCTTAAAATAAGTGCATTTGTCTTGTATTGAGGAGGTAAGTGAGACACTTAGCCAATGGAACAACACAATTTACATTTAAAATAGGACAAACCAATCGCTTTGTCTTATCTTAAGTACATATTATCTAATTATCTTATTTAAGAGTAAAAAACAAATTCCTTTGGCAAATCATCTTATTTACCTTCTCAAATTAAGGTTAAATACACTTAACTTAAGAAGTTTTTACGTATTTCTAGATTGTTTTTCCAACCTTATTTGTTCAGTTCCAGTCGTTCTTAACATCTTGATTATTTGCTCCTTTTGTATTTTCTTCATAGTTGTTTCCAGACTTATAAAGGTTATCTGCTCTGTTGGAATAATGTGTCCTCTGGTCTGTCCCATTTTAATGGCAAGGAGGATGTTAGGAGATGTTGTCATACTAAATAAAAGATTATGGATTATCTTATCATCTTAGAAAGACAAAATACTGACTTTGAAATTTGCTTCAGCTTCCAAAATGAGGAAAAGATTCCTGATGAAATGTGTAGTTTGACAGTAAGATGGTGGGACATTTTCCTGCACCTCTTAAACAGGGAGGGTTGTGTCAGAAGACTCGTTATTGGATAAAAATTCCCAGTTAAAACAGTTAAGTATCAAATGATGATTAAGCTCTAAGACTTTAATGTAATTTAAGATAATCCTTCAGTAAAAACAAAAGTTGAAAAACATTTGTTTCATCACAAAAGGGAAAGATAAATTCTTCAGCTATGGACTGTAGATAAATGAAATACAGAAAGCCTTCTGTACTGTATATGTTTTCCAATATGTTCTCTTCTTATTGATTTTTTTACTTCTTGTGGGAATGTGGGAATGTGTTTGTTTGGTGTCCAGAGTAAACCCCAACATCTGCACACTAGCTCAGGGTAAAGTAACTGGAGTAGCTCTGGGGTGATGGGGAGGTCACTGCTGTAAGTGAAGGAGATGTTGCAGAGAGATGTTGGCAGGACACAATATGATAAAGCTAAATCAGAGAAATTGTTTCCTGGAAAAGAAAAAAACTGAGAGAACGAGTCCTAAAAAATGAAATTTGGCTCTTGCTATCATGTAATTGCCAGGGGCAACAGATGCTGCAGCTTGCACGGACATGAGAGAAGACCCTGTTGTTGGAGCTGGAGCACAGCTCTGTGTGTGATTGGGCACATTTGCTCTGTCCTGCTGTTTGGTGGATTAGGTTTAAAATGCTTCCCTCTCCAACACATTCACAGACAACATACAGTAATGCAGAGGGAGACGGTGCGCACCCCTCTGTTCGCCAGTTATCTACAGGCTGACAGCACATAGGAAACTTCATCACCTGGAATGTTTTAGGGGTCTTTATGGCTCCACTGGTTTTCTGACATTCATGCAGAGACATTTTTTCTGAAGTCCAAAGCCACAGGAAAGTTGAGCTTACCCATTTTTCTCAACTCAGTATTTCTCATTTTTACAATAGGGACTGTTTATAAGAATTATAAGCTTTATTTATTTATTTTTTAACAAACATCACAGTTAATATTCTAAAACCGATCTTTGCCTTTGAATTAACCTACTTCGCTACACCTATTAGATGAACTAATCAGCCTTTAATTAGATTTTAAACTCCCTTAGTCCCAATCATCAAGTCAATTATCGTTCAATTTGTTCAATTAACGTATTCTGGTCATTTTTGTCCACCACTATACA